TAGATTAAAGAATAAATCACATAAATCTAAAAATGAGTTATTCATCATCATCTCTACCTGTGATTTTAGAAATAAATACATATAAATGAATAAAGGGTATATCTTTATTTCACCAACCTGGAATCGTCAAGTGAAGTAGAAGCAATATCAGTAAGACCTTTATGAATATTAGACCCAAGAACAGAAACACTAGGTCTTGTTCTTAACACCTGGACCGAAAGGTGAGGAATAATTATCATAATAACAAAGAGAAAGCCATACCAATATATAACCAGCATATTATACATAGAATGTCGTACTAATACATACCCAACACACTAGACAGATTTGACAGAAAAAGCTAAGATAAAAATGTGATTAAGTTGTCTGTTTGATACAATCCTTAACCTGTTCGGATGTGGGCCAACAATTGTTTTTTACTATTAACACTCCCCCTGACATGTGGGTTCCCTCCACCATGAGAGCCCAGCGTGCAGAATTTAACTTAATTGAGGGGTTTTGCCATTGTGAAGGGATTCGAACTCAGGATCTCTCGCTGTGACTGACACCATGATGAAGTTGTCGGTTAACTACGATTCTCAAAAAATTGAGCTGTTAGGATGTGGGCCAGGAATTGCTCTATGTTCAAACAAGATGACAGGTGTCAACAGAAATGTATGCTTTAGAAGAGCTCATCAGATATGAGGTTATAACCTGACTAGAACTGGAAATCTGGAAATTGGGTCCCCTAACTACATTGTTCTCATTTAAATCATGCATGTGTTAAGTACGTTTTAAGCATGTGTTTGTGCGCTTCTAACACTCTAAAGTATCTATTAACCAAAAAAATCAGGGTTAGGTGATTTTCACACTAAAGTAACATGAATACCCAGAAACAAAACAAAACACATATATATAATAACACGATGGAAAGTTGACATGATGTATATAATGAGTTCCCATTGGAGCAAATTAGCACATAAATTTCCAAAGAGAGTGCAGCACTAAAAGCATGCGTATGATGAAAGAGAAAGAGAAACTTACATTGGATGGTTTAGAAGAGATATAACCAATATCAAATATAAGTACTTCATTCCTTTTCATAGATGTGCAAACAACCTATATGAACAAATTTGGCAAATCTTAATGTAAGAACAAATCAATCCAGGAGAGATAATTAAGCCAATTTAAAACAAATCAACCTTGATTAAGGGTTTCTAAACTAACAGAACAACATACTACAAAATATGAAATACATTTGTTTTCAATTACGCAGAATACGAGCATGTACACAGTGATACTACCAACCCCATTGATCATTCATATAAAAAAGAAGTAATAGCCTGAAATTATGCATGCTTAGGCATATCGGAAGGAAAAAAGAATAATCAGCCAGGTTCTATATCTATATAGTTCTCTGGAGTCACAACTGAGAAAAATGAAGCAGCCATATTGCCTTTACAATATCTATAACAATCGTATAAATTGTATTGAACTCAGACCTCATCTTGGTTAGCAAGATTCCACCGGACAAAGTCTAGTTGTTGAGGTAAAGAAAGGTGCACCACATGTTTTGCTTCATCTTCTTGCAAGCCTGGCAGGAAAGAGGTGTAAAAAAAGCCAAATAAAAATTGTTTTGATGAGCAAAAGAGCCAACCCTTACTTTACAAGCATGCTTATATAAATTCCATAAGCACTACAACTTTACAAATTAAAATGGTCTTGTTTTTCTTCCTTCATTAAACATTCAATATAAGCTCAAGGTTTGGCCTGTGTAAATAGAAGAGGTGAACAGCAGTAACATCAGTAGCCAAAGTTATGCCCAGGAAAACCTCAAACATGCATGAATGTAAAGGTTTGCACATTAAAATTGTATCCATTAGTTTAGTGCACTGTTATACAAGTTTAGCAGACGATATATGCATCACTCTTGTAATAAACTTGGAAATTATGAACTGATAAAATATATGCCAAAACAAGGAATAACAAGCCGTAATGAAGGAACTTACATAGCAAAGGTTCATTACTCTGGCAATAAAGAGTTTCAAAATCATGCACTGTTAAACACCCGGATTTTGTCACAGATACCAGGTATATTCCCTAATATATAGGGGAAAAGAGGAAATGTAAATACAAGAAAAGGAAGTGAAAAGTAAAAGCAACACGCACACATGCACACAACATACAAAATAAAACCAAACTAGCAAAAGCACTGAATGTATTTACCTTTCTGTCAAAATCAAGTGCAGAGATCCCTTGCCTGAAAAAAAATCTGATTGAGCAATCTTTTCTACTACATATGAAACACAAACAATAACACAGACACACACACACACACACACACGTATATATATATGTATGAGGATAATTACTGACTTTCCAATTGACGGTTGGTCATACAAAAATGCGCCATTGTCGATCCAATTCAACTACAAAATTAAAATCCCACAAACAAAAAATCAAAATTTATGGGAAAAAAATATAAAGAAGAAGTAAATGATGATAACAAACTGGGTTTTTAATATTGCATACATGGGTTTGACACGGTCCACCATTGATGTGGTACAAATGCGGAAATGCCCTCAGCTATATCAAACAGAAAATACATAAATCAATCAAGCAAGGTACTTGTAACCTTTAGCTAACTAATTGGTAAACTCAGTAATGGAAAAATGAATTAATGGGGCACCTCAGAATAGGATTCCATGAGCAACCCAGAGACGGAATGGCGGTAATTGGGCTCGAACCTTCCGTTCAATTCGATCAGGCTTCGACTCCATCTGTGCCCAAAACAACAAAGCCCTCAATTTCAAATTGACAATAAAACATAGAAATTGAGAAGGGTTATCGATTCGCATTTACCTTGGAGGGGGTTTGCTGGGGTTTTGAGACGAGGGCTTCTGAGGAACTAGGTACTTGTCCATCAGAGTGTTCAGAGTGAGAATTAAGGTTTGAGTTTTGGGGCTTAAAGGTCGTTTTTTTTTCGGTGTGGGTTTGCTTTTCCCGCCATTTCGTCTTATGTGTCACAGTGTATGCTAATTGCGCGCGCTCTCTAATAGGTCGGGTTTCGGGATCGGATCAACCAAATTCATACCCGGGTGGGCATTTTTTTAATATCAAAGACAATTGGTATCAAGTTTATTGTTATTACGAATTCCTGATGATTAATGATTCCCAAAAAAATAAAAACACAATTCATGATGATTAAGAGTAAAAGTTATTTTTCTTTTAGTTTTGTTGGCCTTTTGTTTTCTTGATATCATGCGAACTCAGGGTTGATATATTGAGATCCTTTTTTTTTTTTTTTTTTTATTCTAATGAATGAGGGAGATTCGAACTTGAGACATCTTTCGACTTTATAACCATCAGAATCAGACTAAAAGCTATTTGGTCATTTGCTTGGCCTTAAAAGTTTACCTATGTTATGCAATTATCAATTTAAAAATAAAAACTGTTAATAGGAAAATGCTTCTAAAACATTGGTAAAGTACTTTGTGGGAGCAATTTTCCCCACAAGAATATTCGCCCAAGATTCCTTCGTCTTCTCCGCTTCTCTTTCTCCCTGCAAAACGAATCGGAGTAAGAAGACCACACCCGGGGGGTGTTGGCCAAAGGTCCTCCGATGCCTAAGTTAGGTTGGGTGTTTCAAGGAAAATCGGGTGACCGGAGCCGTGTGTGGTGGTCGGAGCCTTGTGTGAGAGAGAGAAAGAATATGAAGGAGAAGGGTTTATGAGAAATAATTTATGCAGAGTTTCAGTAGGGATTCAGACGTACCTCCATCCTCATGTGTAGCCAATATTTATAGAGGGTCTCAGAGGCTTTAATTGGGCGAGGTTGGTGGGGTTGGTGTACTTAGGGGTTAGGGATTTAATCAAATCCCTAATTAAGATAAAAATCAAAGACATCTAATTTAAATCAAATAACCTCCTAATTAATTCAGATAATTCCCAATTTAGGCTAGGTAACTCCCAATTAGGTCAAATAATTCCCAAATTGGTTGGCCTAATTATTTGACCTAAAGTGAGATATTTTGCTTCCACATACTTGGCATAATCCAAAAGGCCAAATCTGCATGCCTAACCCCAGAGGCGGATCGACGTTGGGACAAGAGGGGTTCGACGACCCCTTGGATGGCTGGAAAATTGGCTTGGGAGTCCATGAAAGCCCCCTTGGCTGCACACCAAGTGCTCGACGAAAGTCCCAAGCGAGCTCTTCCTCTGCTGCTGCGCATTGCGAGTGCTGCGCTGCGCTTTAATTTTTTTTCAAAACCAGCCTTGCCAAACAACGTCGTTTGGTCCAAGGCTAGTCAAATTTTTTTTAATTGACCTGGCCTCAAAACGACGTCGTTTTGGGCCAGGTTTAAATTTAAAAAAAAAAAAAAACGAACAGCACCCTTACCTACCCGATCTGCACAGCACCTCTCCAAACCCTTCATCCAATTTCTCATCTCCAAGTCCAACCCTCTCAAACCCTAACCTCCCAACCTCCTCCTCCTCCATCAAGTCTTCGCCGGTGCCACCTTGTGCCGCCGTCCGCCGCCATTTTTCTCAACTACAAGCAAGTAAGCAAGGCAAAAGAAATATTAATAAAATTATAGTGATAATATATATTGTTGAATTGATATTGGTATTTTTTTGTTGTTGTAATGAAATTTATGGATATGAATCTGTGGTTTGATGGATAATGTAGATTGATAGTTTATGCTTGATTGATAATATGAATTCATTGAGTATATTGAATATTAATTGATAGTTGATATGATAAATTGGTACATATTGAATATTGATTGATATGGGTTTAGGGGGTAATATTGATGGGTAATAGATTGATTGAGTTTATGCTTTATTGAGTATATTGAATTTTGATTGATATTTAATATAATAATTTGGTATATTGAATAGTGATTGATATGGGTTTAGAGGGTATATTGAATATTGAGAGTGGGTTATTGACATTTTCATATTTATATGATAATTTGGATAAAAATTAATGATTGATTGAATTAATTGATTTGTAGATTTATGGAACGATTCTTTAAAAGAAAATTATCTACGGATAGTTCTTCTCCGTCTAATCCGGGTAGTTCAAATGCAAGACCAATTGAAGTAGATGAGATATTAGCTAATCTTCAGGCAGACCCTGGACTAAGAACTAGAATGGCGGATTATAGTCCTAATATTCGGGATGAGATCCGAAGGGCATATCTACAAAAGGGACCTTGTCAACCTAGAAGTTATAAATTCCCACAAACTAATCAATCAGGAATTAATAGACGCTTCATTGCTCAGTGGTTTGATGAGCATGATTGGTTGGAATATAGTATTGCTAAAGATGCTGCGTTTTGTCTTCATTGTTATCTCTTCAAATCTAATTTTGATCAAGTGGGTGGTGATGCATTCACTGGGGTTGGCTTTAATAATTGGAAGAAGGCGAAAGAAAGATTTAACCTTCATGTTGGACCGGTTGGTAGTGTTCACAACCAAGCTAGAGAAGTTGCTTACAATTTGATGCATCAAATTACACACATTGAAAGGGTTGTGATCAAGCAAACAAATGAAGCTCGCATGGCTTATCGCACTTGCTTGAATGCATCACTTAAGTGCACTAGGTATTTGTTGCGACAAGGTCTTTCTTTTCGTGGTCATGATGAAAGTGCTCAATCAAGTAATAGGGGGAATTATTTAGAGCTCTTGCAATTTCTTGCGGATCATGATGAAAAAGTGAAGGATGTTGTGTTGGAAAATGCCCCGGGAAATTTAAAGTTAATAGCTCCTTCAATTCAAAAAGATCTTGTCAATTCTTGTGCTAAAGAAACCATTGGCCTTATCTTGAGTGATGTAAAATATAGATATTTTTCAATAATGGTGGATGAAGCACATGATGTTTCAATAAAGGAGCAAATGGCGATGGTGCTGCGTTATGTGAATGACAAAGGACAAATAATTGAAAGGTTTGTGGGGGTTCAACATGTAACTGACACTACCTCAAGTGCACTAAAGGAAGCCATTGATGAATTCTTTTCTTCCGCAAATTTGAGCTTTTTCAAGCTACGAGGACAAGGTTATGATGGAGCTAGTAATATGAGAGGTGAGTTCAATGGCCTTAAGACAAGAATTTTGAGAGAACAACCTTGTGCATTTTATGTTCATTGCTTTGCTCATCAACTTCAACTAGCTCTTGTTGCGGTAGCAAAGAAAAACATTGATGTCAACTCTTTTTTCACAACGGCTAATACATTGGTTAATGTTGTTGGAGCATCTTGTAAGCGTCGCGATGCACTTAGAGCACAATACCAAGAAGAGCTAGTGAAAGCTTTTGAAAGTGATTGTCTTATAACGGGGCGAGGCTTAAATCAAGAAACTAGTCTCAAACGTGCCGGCGATACAAGATGGAACTCACATTATGGTACGTTGATTAGTATCATTTCTATGTTCCCATCTGTGGTGAATGTGCTTCAAATGATTGTTGATGATAATCCTAATGATAGTTCGGGTGAAGCCTATAAGTTATGGAGAGAAATACAATCTTTTGAGTTTGTGTTTCACTTATTTTTAATGAAAGCTATATTGGGAATAACAAATACTTTGTCTCTAGCATTGCAAAAGAAAGATCAAGATATTGTGAGTGCTATGAGTTTAGTGAAAATATGCAAGGAAAACCTGCAGTTTATGAGGGATAATGAGTTTGAAGAATTGGTTGAGCAAGCATCTTCGTTTTGTGACAAATACGATATTACAGTTCCTACCATGGATGAGGAATATGTAATTTCAGGGAGATCAAGGCGTAATGCTCCAATGAAGACAAATTATCATCGTTATTGTGTGGAGATCTTTATTCATGTAATTGATGGGCAACTTGCAGAATTAAATGATCGCTTCAACGAGGTAAGTACTGAGTTACTTACTTGTTTGGCATGCTTGAGTCCGAAAAATAACTTTGTAGCTTTTGACAAACGAAAGCTAGTTCGTCTTGCTCAATTTTATCCTCATGATTTTTCGGATCGAGACTTATTGATGCTTGAAGATCAACTTGGTGTTTATGTTCATTATATGCGTTCGATTATGGATTTTTCTCAATTGGAAGGGATTAGTAGTCTTGCGGAAAAAATGGTGGAGAAAGGAATGCATGAAATATTTCCTTATGTGTATTTGCTTCTTACATTGGCTTTGGTTTTACCGGTTGCAACTGCTTCAGTGGAGAGGGCATTTTCCGCCATGAATATTATTAAAAATCCACTTCGCAACAGAATGGGAGATCAATGGTTGAATGATAGCTTGATTGTTTACATTGAGAGATTGATCGGTTCATAATTGTATATCATTTTGTACCCTTCTAGCTTATGATTTGGTTATGTTATTGAGTTAAACTTGTGCTTTTAATCCATTTTCTGTTTTGATAAGTCCATAATTTCATACACTTGCTTGCCTTCTTTACTTAAACTCATCGTGGACAATTGTAACTTGTATTATTGGTTTTGTTATGAATTATGAATGGAAGTACTATCTTTCTATCTTTTTAGCATTATTTTCGTTGTAGAAAAATTTTGGAACTTTTACACTAAGCCCCCTTGGCCGTATAATCCTGGATCCGCCACTGCCTAACCCCTTACTGCCTTACACCAACAGTACATATTCTAAAAACAGTTGAGCTAAAACCAATAAACATTTGTATGAAATGACTGTTTAATGAAGGAAATTGAAACTGTGTGTGTATATTTTGGTCTCATTACACATCATTGTTGAATTTGCTAACTACCATATAGATAAGCACGAGTCATGAGTGGATGGCCCTGGACCTCGCGGACTATTTATTCGGGTGGCAACAAAACCTTGGTGTGAATCAGAAATTAGATGAGTTGGTGGCAAGCCTGCATTGCTCCCAGTTGATTGTGCATCAATTCAGTTGAGCTTTCCCTGTAAGGATGCTTAGAGAGGAGGCCACCAATGCTTCAGAGTGTATTAGGGTGTACTAGTGGTATTTTTGGTAGTTAAATAGGGTATACTTAGTTAATTTTACATTTTGATTTAAATATTAGGGTTTACTTAGATCATAAGGTGTACTTAGTTAATTTTAGGGTTCGTTTAACAACACTCAATCAATTAAGTGGTGATCAAGCACTCAAAACATTAAGAATGGTAAAAGATACTCAACATGGAAAATAATATCAAATTAACATAAACTCAGAGATAAGGTATTCATGGCTAGGCTACATCGTGGCCCTAGCAAAAGGAAATTAGAACATGATAAACTATCGAGAATCACAGAGAGGTTGATGGTAGACATCAGGGTGAACTCGAAAACTCCCAAAAAGCTCCAAGGTGGCCGGCGGTAGCAAGACTTCTCTTCGCAAGAATTGGGTATTTTCGGGTAGTGAAAAGTATGGATCCCCTCTATGAGGCCAGCCCTATGCTATTTATAATACACAAATCCTTAACCTAGTTACAATCAAATACTACCAAAAATAGGTTTCCTAATATCTCTTTGATTTCTTCCCCAAATTCCACAAGGATTTGACCAAATTTCCTCCTTTAAGCTTTGACCGGTTGATTGGCTTCTAAGAAACATCTTCTTTGTCTCCAATTAATCCTTGCCACACATCTTAATAGGTGTTGAGTCCAATTTGACAACTTTTCGTCCAATTCATCTAATTAGGGATCAACTACACATTCTCACAAACATATATGTAAAAAAAAAAAATAATCCAAGAGAATCAACAAATAAATACTACCCAACAATTTAATCCAAGGGAATCAACAAATAAATAAGTAAAAGAGGCATAAAATATATGTAAAATATGGACTTATCACATACCTTCAAATATCTGCGCCTCAATTTCGGAAGAGACAGGAGGCGGTGCATGTGGGTTCAACAGCTTATGTAGACATGATGATCAAGGACCAAGTTGTCACTGCCCCAATGGTTACAGCTTTATTGATCCAAATGATGTTCTGAAAGGATGCAAACAGGATTTTGTTTCACAAAGTTGTGATAAAACGTCTCAAGAAACGGATCATTTTCATTTCGAAGCTATGCAAAACACGGATTGGCCTAATTCTGACTATGACCATTTTCAGGAGGTATCTGAGGATTGGTGCAGGCAGGAATGCCTTGGTGATTGCTTTTGCGCTGCTGCCATTTTCAAAACCAATGAGTGTTGGAAGAAGAGAGTTCCGCCTTTGAACGGGTTGATTGACCTCAGTCTTGGTACAAAAGCTTTGATCAAAATGAGGAAAGACAATTCTACTTCAAAAAGAAAGATACCTCAACTTTGATCCTCATTGGACTGCTCCTCAGTAGCATGATGTTTATGAACTTTTGGAATTAGCAATACCAATTATCTAGAGAATTTGGAATGTTTCAGTACATGTATTTCGTATGCATCAAAGTGAACCGAACTTGACAAGCCTTGTCTTAAGATGTTTAAGATAATGTTATGTATTGAGTTTACTATTTCTGATTGGTTTGTGACAGTACTATTTACTGGAGGAGTTCATATCCTCCATATAAACACCCTTTGCTAAGAAATTTTTTGTATGGCTAAGTTCCACCATGAAGAATGTCAAAGAGTTGCTTGAAGGAACTGCTCCTTGCTCATTATAACTTCAATCTATATGCATGATTTCCGAATTACACCAGCTCCATAATTGTCATGTAAATCTCTATCTGATATGTGCCTTCAATGGTTAATTTTATGTTGCAGAAGTACTGTCTTTTAAACTGAACCACCATGGAAAAACTTGCCCTTGACTGAAGAAACAAAGAGAAGACTATGGGTTCAGAGCAAGGGCCTCTCATGCAAACCACTTGGAAATTCACAAATGAGCACAGAATTGTGTTTTTTTAGTTGTGTTAATATGCTAGCCTTCTGATAACATAGAACAAGTATACTGCAGTCACTAGATTTTTGTTTCCCAACAGAATCTAAGCTCAACTAACGTAGGTAAACTAAAAACTGCAAATCCAACTACTGCTAAATCAAATTTTATTGAAAAGAATGTACTAGACTTCAATTATTAAATGTCTGCAATGAGGGGCATCATTCTGCATGAGTTAAGAGCGATGCCGCTTTAGCACGCTTTCTCTTTGAAGAGTCAAGACCAAACTAGTACCTAAGAGGCAAACTGCCTTTTGAATAGTTTGCAAACGACTACTAGAACCAGAGGAGCTAAAGGCTTTGTGGCCCCTGAATAGTTCAAAAACTGTCCCACAGTGAATTTGGATGCTTACAGCTATGGAATTCTGTTACTAATTGACATTGTAATATATTTATGTAAATGACATCAAAACTTTTTCAATATCCAAGCATAATAATTCACACTTTCACACCTTTACAATCACCAGCATGATGATGCCCAAGAAAACAAGTTGCTTGAAATAATATAATAATAATAATAATAATAATAATAATAATAATAACCCAAACAAAAAGCTATCTTCTTTTCTTTCTAGCATCAAGGAACAAACACAAATTACAACTTGGAAGACTTCCATTTTTGAGACTTAATATTAAGTTCCAACTTCATGGTGGATGTCCATAAGAATTCTCTAAGCCAGAGGCGGTTTCTTCTGTTTCGGTATGGGTATATATTTAGTAATAAATAAAAATTACTTGCATAGGATTTGCTTCTTGGAGTCGAGCATTTTTTCTCACTGTATATACCTGTCACTATTTAGTGGCCTCTTAAACTAAAGACAAGATTTTTTGTTGGACATCTTAAAAATATTTTAAAATACAACTTAGAAAATGATTATAGCCCTCAGACAAGAAAATAGTGGCAAATTACATTGTATGGAGATAAGGATTATGCTTTTAAACCACTGAAAAAGACTTGTGAAATGATCCAAAAATGTCAAATGACCACGTCTACACCAACTGTTTGTTTTCTAAGACAGTTCAACTAAAACACCATCTACTTCCATATTTAATTCCTTGACCTCCATGTTTACAGAGTGTTATGTTTCTATAAACGAGATTGTCAACACAACGAACAAACCAATTTTTTGGTGCATCCAGTAAAGATGTGTGTATATATTAAGCACGAAAAAGGACACGTGTTGCAGGTTTGAAGGGTGTCTGCTGTGTTTGTTTCTTGGGAAAGCCAAGAGAAAACTGATTTGAATGATAGAAATGTCTGAAGGTTTGCTCCTGAACATAATGTCCAGATGCGCCAAGCTAGAGAATGTTTTATATTTAATGCAAGAAAGCATTGACTTCCTTTCATTTTAGCAGAAATAGGACATTGAAAATTCTTGGTCAACACCTGCTTGAATTGAATAATAGCAGAAATAAGAAGCTGCAGTTGTAAATAAAAGCTTCCAATGGATTGTGACTCATATATAGTGCAAATGAATTGTCCGTAGAGAAATATCCCTCTGACTATAATGGCTTTTGAACTAGCATATGCTTTCTGCTTTCTGCTTCTCCTTCTACACCTGCCATTTCCCACCACTGCTCAAACTAACAAGAACATACCTTTGGGTTCATCCCTCACTGCACTAGACAATAGCTCTTTTTGGGCCTCACCATCTGGGGAGTTTGCTTTCGGTTTCCAAGAAATTGGTAGAAATGGCTCCTTACTTGCCATCTGGTTTAACAAAATACCATAAAGAACTATTGTGTGGTCAGCCAACGGTAATAATCTAGTGGCAAAAGGATCCAAAGTTGAACTCACTGCAGATGGACAGTTTAGGCTCAATGATGCTGCAACAGGCAAACAAATATGGGTTGCTGATTCTGCTAGTACCGGAGTTTCCTATGCAGCCATGCTTGACACTGGAAATTTTGTGCTGGCTAACCCAAGTTCAATCAATTTGTGGGAGAGTTTTGATCAACCAACTGATACAATCCTACCTTTTCAGACTCTAAATCAAACCAGCACACTCTTTGCCCGCTACACGGCAACAAATTACTCAGAAGGAAGATTCCGTTTTGCACTACAACCGGATGGAGACCTCTTGCTTTACACAACACACTTCCCAAAATTAATATATGAATGATAAGCATGCACTAATGACTTTTTGTTTGCGAATCCGTATACAAATCTATTTGCAATCTTTGCTTTGAAAAATCAAGCAACTCAAGACTGGTTCAAATGGAGATGCAGTCACATCTTTTAGAGATAAACTCTATATCATTTTATTTATATAAACAAACCTAAAAAATGACAACTAGCCTTATTTAATTTTGATTGTTAAATTACTTTGATATCCTATTGAGTGTTTTGGGTATATTTATGAGGTTTTGAGGCTGTGCTTCTTTTAAAAAATTGATGACAATTTTGTAATTTATAAGAAGTTAAAAGCCTCTTTG